TATGCAACCACCAAATTACCATAAATTAAGCTCAGGCAAAAATAAGGCCATAAAATGGACATTTTACAGTGGCTATTGACTACGATGTTCAGTTTGCATTAAATCTTCTGAAACATTGTTACTTTGTCAACTGAATTAGTAATTGGTGTCTTCTTGGGTGGGAAATATATAATGCTTCAAACTCCATATATATTACTCACCACAATTAAAGTCATTCGCTGTAAGAAGCTGCTATCTATATGCATCAGACTAATTATTTTGTGCTTTTTTACTAAGATAATGGGACACTGCTGCCAGTGGGCAAATCCCGATCATACATTATATCACACTTCCTAGCAATTTTTGATGAAAACTACAGGTGGAGACAGATTATAATGGGAACATCTAATTGAAATTCATCTCCATTTTGCTTCAGATGGAAGACATGCTGCTTGAGCCCTGAAACATATTCAATTTCATTCAAATTGGATGCAGATTTTTCAGGGAAAACTAAATTCAAAAAACATATATTTCAAAGGGTCCTAGAAGAGAGAGAGGAGTACCGTAAATGTTGACCACTCAGGTTTATTAGGCTACTGCTTTCCAAGATAGGAATAGAGAACTGAACTCCTACTAAAGGTCATTATCTTTGTTATACCATATTCCGTTGGCAGTTAGTAACTCAAATGCTTCACAAAGACCATGAGAAATACTGTTCAATCCTTTAATAAATTTCCCTAACATTTTACGGTCAGGTCTCTTCATTGGTGTACGGGTCACCACTGTCTCCTTCTTCCATGTCGTGCCTCTGGCACTGTCTCCTAGGGCAGAAGATGGAGATTTTTCGGTGAGACATTGAATAGGAAGCCATCTCCTTCCTGGGCCAAAAAAATTTTAAACACAAACACACTCATGCACACAAATATACAAACACACACACACATTCTTACACTCACATTCTTACATGCACTCACATACATTCATTCATATATGCACATACACATTCATATACATGTATGTGTATATTTATTTTATATATGTGTGTATGATATGTATATCCCCCTCCTTGGCTATAAACCAAAACATCCCTCATTGGCAATAAGGCCGATAAACTGCTTAGCAAAGTATCAGATAAGTACTCAATAAAATATGACTTAAAATGAAAATTTTCTGAGTTATTTTTGCTAATGCTAGACAATAGACTTCTTAAGAACAATTGATTTACTCATTAATCCACTCATTCATTTAACCAATATTTGATGAGCACTGACTATGCACCATGTACCAAAATAGGTGCCAGAGATACAATAGTGAGCTCAACAGTCTCAGCCTTCAAGAAGCTTTTATTCTGTGGGGAAGAGACAAATAGATAAATGTCAGATGGTGATATGTGCTACGAGGAAAAATAACAAGATGCTGTGTAGAGAGTGTGATGGAGGGCGCTATCTATATGGTGATCAGGGAAGGCCTCTTTTCAAGGGTCATATTTTAAGACTTGAATGAAATGAGAGAGTAAGCCAAGCAGATAACCGGAGGAAGAGCATTCTAGGCAGAAGGAATGGCATATGCAAAGGCTGGGAAGCAGGAGCATGCTGTAGCTGGAATATAATGAAAAAGGGAGAATGAAAGGAAATGAGCTCAGAGGGAGAGCGAAAGAAAAGCTGACATTCAGCCTTAAAGTTTTGGCAATGGCTTTGACTTTTACTCAAGTGAGATGGGAGCCATTGGAGGGTTTCGAATAGAGGAGCTACATGATCTGACCTTTTATAGGCTTTCTCTGCTTGCTCTGTATAAAAAAGATGGAAGGGAGAAGGGAGAGAAGCAGGCAGAGCAGTGAGGAGGTGACTACACTAATCCAGGGGAGAGATGATGGTCACTTGAACCAGAGCACTGCAGTGCAGGTGGTGAGAAGTGGCCAGATTCTGGCTATATTTTGAAAATAGAGTCTACAGGAGTTGTTGATAGACTTATGTGGAGGGCGAAAGAAACAGATCAAAGTTTACTCCAAGGTTTCTGCCTGAGCAACTGGAAGACCTGAGTTGCATGTAAAGCGCCTAGGACGCAGTAGGTGCTAAAAGATGCTAGCAGTCAGTGTGCATATTATTCTCTTGCTGTGAGACCAGTGACTGTCCTCATCACCAAGCACAAGTGGCCTAATGAATGGCTGTAATGGCAGCCTTTGTCTTTGAGCTGTTCGTTTCTATCATGAAGGGGGACTCAAAATGCCAATAACTTCTTCACTGGGAGAGGGAGCTGGAGTCTTAATACAGAAGCCACAGGTAAATCCCCAGGGATTCCACGGACAATTTCTGTAAAGTTTCTTTTAATGCTATATTGTAAGATGTGCTCAAATCTTCACAGGAAACATACTAAAATCAAAATTAACCCAATCTTTCTGATGTGGAGTTATAATTACAAACGGCCATTAAAAGTTGGCTTTAAGTACGGTGAAAGGAATGCATAACATAAAACCAAAATAAAGCAATACAGCTGAACGCAGTTTCTTAGGAGGTAAAGCAATGTGGTTTCTTTAAGGAGATATGTTTAGAATAGTCAGCATGAAGACTATATTGGTTACAAACATAAATAGCTTCTTGGAAAGTATAAATAAATTCATAGAATATAGAATGATAGATCCATAATTACTTAATACACGAGAATAGAGTATCCAACAGATACATTGCTAAATTTAAAGTTGACAACCAGGCAGACAATTATGATCTTCCAAAACATTCTCCTTGTAGCCCTTCCCAGGGACAGAATATGAACTGGCTGAACCATGGGTAGGACACAAGAAGATAATTCTAAAGATGTCACCCTCACACTTTAAGAGTTTCCAGTCCCTATGATGAAATTATAGAAGCGATTTTACACAGAGAAAAGAAGAATGTCTATAAGAACAAACCAAATCTGCACATTTTCTATCCACAAATTGGCACACGAACGTGTAACTAGAAAATGTTATCTATATCAACGTGTGCTAGATATCCTCCATTTGCCCCTCCAGGTCCACTTTCCAGCCTCTTCCATCCTGTTTTGTGTCTCGAGTCTGATCTATATAGACTGCATCACCTGGACTCCCTAACCCTTTGGATTTGGCCAATGGAAGGCACCAGAAAGAGATCAAAGGGCAAAGGGAGAGAGAGGTTTTCCTCCCTGCTGGACCATAGGTTGGCAATGGCTGTCCACAATTTCTTTCCAAGGGTCCTCTCTTACACCTACCAGTCTCGCCAGGTTCTGATAACTACTCCCTCTCCTTGCACCTGTTTTCCTCTATTGCTAGCTGTGGGTGCCTCTTAAGTTTCCCTTAAACTTGCCCACACCTTTGTAAATAAACTGTTCTTAAAATCTCTTTAATAACCCTTTTGAGTTTGTCTGTTTCCTGCTCCCCGACTGACACACAGTGGTCTCCAAACTTGCTTCAGAATCATTTGTAGAGCTTTTTAGAAACATAGATTCCCAGATCCTACCCAAGACCTAATGAATCAGAATCTCTACGCTTGGAGCTGAAGAACATGTAACTTTAATAAGCAACCCAGGTGATTCTGATGCAGCCAACATGGCAACCACCCCCAGACCAGCATTTGGGAACTACTGCTCTGCAGACCCTACCATGCCAAACTGAAGCATTTGAAAACAAACATGATGCTTCCAGAATACAACCGCAGCTACACTTCTCTCTAACACCAGGGCAACCAGGACTCGGAAAACGAAGTGGATTCTCCATGGGGACATCCACAGCTGAGGAAAACAAGGATACGGTCTGTAGTGATAGGAAATGCTCCTGAGCACATTAAGTAAATGCTCAACTACCCCTTTCACATTTGATTAGATCCTCAATTGAAAATCACTTTTCAACCACTTTACAAGAAATGAAATCCATTTCTACCTCCATCTGGTGCCAAAATTAACAAGGTGGAAAATGCCAACCAGCTTAGACATGTCCAACTTCAGCTTCAAGTGGGCACTGGAGCACCCAGTGCCTTTCAGCCTTGGGGAAACGAGGCCTGTTTATTCCTGAAGACCACGAGCCTCTGGTAGGACCAGCAGATAAACAGAATCAAGAGCCCAACATGCTCCAATCTCTGAGGATCTACTCTCCATTCTGAAGCCGAAGGCATTAGGAGATGGGCTAAGCTGACCATCTGTTCTTCTCGCTGATAATGTGTAATTAAGTAATTTATTCAGCACTTGAACCCCCTCCTCTTGCCTCCCATTAGTCAGGGATGATTATGCCAGACCCAGCTGTAGGTAACATATTGCACACTCTGACAAGCGCTATGCTTGCGACAAAGCACTCTGCTAGCCTCCTAGCTATCGCCACCTCTCAGACCCGACCATAGGAGTGACTGCATGAGGCTTGCTGCTCTGCTGGCTTTGCTTTCTTCCCCAAAGATTAGGCGGCACTTTCCTGCTGTGCTTTAGACCATTTACTGTGCATATTTAATTTATTTGTTCAAAAATGAATTTACCCACATCCTCTGATCACTTCCACCAGGCCAGCTTACTGGTTAGGCAGCACCAATGGATTTTTCCCATCTGGCGAATTTTATCTAAGATATAAACAAACACAATGTACACAGAGCCTGACACATGGCTATAGAGCAACGGGATTGATTCCATAAGCCTCCGGCAAAACTTAGAGCTGAAACTATGATTACATATAGCATATGTAATGTTTTGCATATTACATCTGTTTCTGTGGCCTGACCAACAAATATTTCCCTTTTTCTGATAGCGAGTTTTTAATATTTTAAAGAAGAATCATCACTCTTTACAGTATGTCCCTGCAGCTTCAGTGGGGCTGGCTTGATCCAAGGTTAAGCTCATGACCTTGGCCAGCCCAATAATTTCTAATTCTAGAAATTATTGAAAAAATGGAGCTTTTTCCGCTGAGGTCTAAGAACATAGCAAAGTTGCCTGGGTTGCTGGTGATCATATTGCTATCTCAGCATTAGCTTGCTGAATAAAAATGAATCAAAAAGAACCAGAATTAAGACATGGAGAGATGAAGTCCTCAGCAACAAAGTCACGATTGAAGTATCTGGATCCTGCAGAAGATACACCTACTCCAGGACTTCTGGGTTATGTGAGCCAACAAATTCCTATCATTGCTTAAGTACTCAGTTATTTGTTTTTAATTTTTTGTTTATTGCAGTAACATTGGTTTATAACATTGTATAAATTTCACGTGCACATCATTATACTTCAATTTCTGCATAGATTACATCATGTTCACCACCCAAATACTAATTACAACCCATCACCACACACATGTACCAAATTATCCCTTTCGCCCTCCTCCCTCC